ACAATAAATACCCTATCAATATCCATAATATTCAACAATGACACTAGTGTAATAATTTCTAGGAAGAATTCAGATCATTTCTCTATACCAGTGGTTCTCAACCTTTGTCAGACCGCGGCCCAGTAAATTCTTTCTATAAGACAAGGGCCTGGTATAATTAATGCCAGGGCCCTGTACCAGGCCGAAGCCTGGAGTTGACAAACACTGCTCTATACTATCAAACAGAGTTCTCCCTCATATGAGTAAATGGTTTGCTGCTAACAAGTTAGCACTGACTCTAAACAGAATATAATAAAATTTATAACAAACAATTTGCCACAATATTCATTAAACAATGGACATGATGATAAAGACATATAAGAATCTGTAAACACAAAATTCATTTGTCTACAAACTGATAACCATTTAAACTGGATAAACCATATATATCAGTTGGTTCCAAATTTAACTGCAGCACGTTACAAAGTTAGATCTCTGTTACACATCAGCAACATTAACACACTCAAATCAATTCACTTTGCTTACTTCTACTCACTCATTAAGTACAGAATAATTTTCTGGGGTAATTCATCTGGCAGCAAAAAGGTATTTACATTACAAAAGACTGTTAGACTCATAGTGAGTGCCAAACCTTGAAATTCTTGTGGAGGTCTACTTAAGAGAATAAAGGTCCCACCTCTTCCATGTGAATACATATTTTCATTAATGAACTTCATTATGAATAACTAAGAACATTTTCAGACTATTTCAGCTGTACACATTGTTAACACAAGAAATAAGCACCACCTTCAGAGACCAACTGCTAATCTCACGTTTTCTGAAAAACGAACATTATATTCGCATAAAACTTTTGAACATGCAGCCATCTAGTCTCAAAAGTCTCACAAATGAAAATTCATAATTTAACACAGCACTACAACAATAATTAAATACACACACATTCTACTCCGTTCGTGAATTCCTACTGTCCAAAAATGATTCACACTCTTAAAGATCTGTGTAAATAACATACACTGACAATATTCATTTATATGCATGGATGAATATTTTAATGTCTTACAGTAACCTCTGTGTATTTTATATGAAAGCTTCAGTTGCACTGTACATATGATTTTGTGTATTTATGACTTATTCCACATCCTACTGTCATTTTTGGCTAATTTTGGAACCAAGTGACAAGACGTTATGTGACGTGGTATATTTGCTCAAAGCAAGAATGGTGTAGTCACAACAAGAAGCCATGATTAGGCAGCAGCCCATAAACAACAGAGGAATGGTTTTTCTGCACAGTCCATACCACTGGCTGCCCATGCAACAATGGAATACATCATGCCATCACTAAGCAATAATTGCACTGCAACAGAGGAATGGTGTTTTCTATGCAGTCCATGCCAGGGCTATATGATGAGTGCAGCTGGGTATCAAAGAGTCACTCCTGTGTGGAGGCAGGGTCAAATACCTCCACTGTAGCCCTGCAAGTCATAGGAGGAGACAAAAAGGGAAGTCTCGAATCTGAGACAGTAAAACATGGTCATAAGTCCCATGGGACTAAGACCTGAGAATGACTGCACTGACAAGGGCCAGCAGCAATTGCAAATGACAGACACGTCCTCTTGTCAGAGAGTGGGCCCCACATCAACAAACCCGCAACTGTCTGACAGTAACAAAAATCCAGTCGTTAAGGCCTACATGAGTGCTTTATTCCAAGACACACTGGCTGACTGTCAGTTTCCACATAAGACTTGACTTGACATGAAGAGTCAGTCAGTCAGATAACTGCTGGGGTTCAGTTGTTGTGAGCTGTTGCTGTGAGAAGCTGGTAGCTCAGGTCAGTGGCAGTTCAGGAACCCAGAGGAGGGAGAATGCCCAATAACAATAACAAGATGCCAATAACAAGCAACAGCTAGTGAAGACTGTTAACAGTCTGAGAAGACCTAGCGTGTCCTATAGCGATGTGCGTAGAACAGTGACAGCATAATCCTGACTTGTAGTTGTGGGTGACAGAGTTCAATAAACCTGATTACCTGATCCAAACCCCATCTATAATAACTAAAATCATTACATTAATATGTGCATGTGTGTGTGCGTGCGTGTTAGCCACAGACAGTACGTCAGCTACCTGTTGACTTCAATAAAGTCTGTGATTCAGAATAAAAAGTACTGTAAAAGTTCTAGTTCAATTCGGTAAAACCGTGAAACTAGTTTGGCTAACTGAACTGTGTTTCAACAAATCAAAAAAGAAACTCTGTGGCTTTAGTCCGCAAGTGAACTATACCAACCAAGTGACCGCCACTTATCGGCGAAGTTAGTGACCGCCTCTGTGGTTTAGTGGTCAGAGTTCCTGCCTACAGATCCAGAGGTTTGGGTTCGATTCCCAGCACTACAAGATTTTCTGAGAAGTACTGGGTCTGGAACGGGGTCCACTCAATCTCGTGAGGATAATTGAGGAGATATTTCAAGGAAATAGCAGCTCCATTTTAGAAAACCGAAATTAATGACCATGGAGATTTGTTGCGCTGACCACGTGACACCCTTTAACCGCTAAAGTTGGTGAAGTTGGTTTAAACAAAATATATAGAAGAATATGCATTACATGGACAGATAAGTACTGTACCATTAAGAAAAACTCATTATCATTATTGGGTGCTGGGAGAAAAGTTGGTCTAGTGGTGAACACAGAGAAAAAAAAAAGTATATATTTACATCTCATAACCAGAATGTTGAAGTAGATTCTAAAGGGTTCTGACAATGGTGGAAAAGTCCAAAAATCCAGTAATTCAGAACGTTGAAGTAAATATCATAATATAAATACACAGCTAGTAAATCATCTGAAGATGTGGCAAAGCTCAAATACCTGGAAATGACAGCAACAAATCAAAATTACATTCATGAGGAAATTCAAAGATTAAATTCAAGGAATGTTTCCTATCATTGCCATTCAATTCAGAAAATTTTGCCTCCCTAACTCCCATGTAAAAATGTCACGACTAAAATATACAAGACTATAATTTGATCTGTTGTTTTGTATGCAAGCAAAACTAAGTCCTTCTCATTAAAAAACGAATATGGATTGAGTGCATCTGCTGGGTGCTGGGGAGATTAAGTGTATCTAAGAAAGAGGAGGAAGTAACACGTGGCTGAAGAAAACTGTATGGGGAATTTTACATTTGTACTTTTCTGTCAAATTATTAAAATGATCAACTCAAGAAGGGTGAGATAAGCATGCACGTAGTGTGCATGGGAAAGAAGAAAGATGCACCAATATTTTAATCAGAAAATCTTAAGGGATGATACCACATGAGAGACGTACATGGAAGAGAAATTTTAAAATGATTGTAAAGAAATGTGTTGAAGATTTAAGGTTTTCACAAAAGTGACTAGGAGGAATGCCGTCTTCTGAGATGTGGTGCCATGTAGAGCTTGTGTGAACTGACATTTTGGAGGAACGTATTGGAACAATCTTCAGGGCAGAAAAATCTGCAAGCAAGGAACCACTTTGAGCAGGCGGTTGCAGTCTGTGATACATTCTTCTAAAACATCAGTTCACACAAGATCTATGTGGCGCCACATCCCAGAAGATGGCATTCTTCTTAAAAAAATATGGTTTGGGAATGAAGATTGGATACGTCTGGCTAATTTTCTTTTGAAGGTTATTTGATGACACTTTTGGTATTGAGACTATACAGAAATGGATTTTACTCATGAAAGCTTCAAGATGTGGGTGCTCTTGTGAACATGATACTGAACCTACTGGTTCCACAGAAGCTGGGCAATTTATTAACTAGGTGAATAACTGTTAGCTTCCTGACAATAACTGTTCCAGAGATTTAGGTAAATTGCAAGACTAGAGAGAATGATGAGGAAAAAGGTGTAAACATCAGCACAATTATACTAGATAATTTCTTTACTAAAGTAATCACCGAAACAGCCACAGCACTTAACATTACGATAATGTCTCCAATACTTAGGCAAAAGCAAAATTCCCCAGGGACAGATCTCATCCACATTTTCCTCAAGCTGTTATGCTCCCCCTCAGTGTTTGTCAACATATTTCCTGCCACATGTTTAGTCATTCTGTTTACATAAATGCTGATAGTGAAAATATCAGAATTTCCAATAGCAACAAGTGCTTTTGACTTAGTAACAAGTCAGATTTGGGGTGGCATGCAACACAACAGTAAGCAGACAGGTGAAAACCTCATGTGCCATCAATCCATCTGTAGGGCTTCCAAATCTGATCTTAGTACAGTAACAGTGACTATATAATGGTTTTCTCAAAACTCCGTGACTACATTATCAGTATGTCATTAGTCAAAGGAATGACTGCAACATGAAACATCTATACTTACTCATTTACAAATCATTATCAGTGTTGTGAATAAAGACAACAGACTATGGAAAGTGCTTAGATGTACATGTAAGTGTAAAAGATCCATGATGGGTCTGTTCACATAGGCCTGCCCTCTGTTCTGACAGACCACAAAACTGTTTTGACGTCATTACAGGAACACACACCATCATCTTCACTTTTAGCCCCAGCGTACCTACCTAAGTGATTGTCCATCTGACACAGCATTTTTGGAACGTTTTCATCATTCTCTATCTTTTCACTAACAACTGGAGCCATGTTCCATATAACAATTCTCCCAGAGTCTTCCCCTGTGACAAATAATAATGCCCTGTAAGCCATTACATTTGCTATTCAAGTCAAATCGTGTATTTCATGTGATGTTTAAAGAATGAAGGAGATCCAATTTGTCATACATTTTATAATAAAACTATTATAACCTCACCCTGACCACCAGTTGCAAATCTTGAGCCATCAGGGTGAATATCAATGGAGAATATGGGTAGGTCTGAAAGTAAACAAACGGCATGTCCATATGTCAAAAAATAAAACATAGTACATTCTGCAAAGAAAAAGCAGCATGAAGCTCAAATAGGTTAGGGCATCCCTGCACAATTAGTTACTTAACATCCTTTAGTATTAGTAAATTACCATCGTGAGAAACCCAATTTGGTTTCAATAATTTCATGACTGTGAAAGCGTAAAAGTTTACTATTTCACAATTACAAAGAGCCTTTGAAGTTTGTAAGCAATGCTGGTCGTAACTGCACACAGAGCCGCCATCACTTCGCCATTTTCAGTACTATCCGTGAATCAATATGATCCATACCAATATTTCAATCCATTCAATTTCCTGTAAGCAGAAAACGGTTTATTAGATATACGTTCGAAATCACTGTCGTTCTTAGCCATCTTAGTATTTCCTACATTTGCAAAGCATGATATGTGCCTAAAACTTCGTGCGTGCATTCATTTTTTATATACAAGGGATGGCCAAAAATATGGAAACACCACGTGCAATGCATGCCTGAATTTACGTGTTTATTTTAGCGACGTTTGTAGGTGACCTAGGTGACGCTGCCGTATCTGCCCAATACCCGCCAATACCTCTACCTGTGTTGAGAATCGTGGACTCGGCGCGACGCGATAACGCATGCGTTGCTAAAGACGTTACCCCGGAAACGTTACAGTGACAGCTCAGGTACCGTTGCTTAGTAACGGCTAGTAAACGGTCGTTGCTATGTAAGGACTCCAACAACAACTCCAAGGCAATTATGGCAAACTATAGACCAATATCATTGCTAATAGGTTTTCTAAGATTTTTGAAAGAGTGGTGTACAATAGAATAAAGACACACATACATGCAAACAATTTAATGTCTTTTGCACAGTTTGGATTTGGAGAAAACAGTAACACAGGAATGGCAATATATACATTAACTAATCATATTTTAGAAACGTTGGAAAGACGCAGTCATTCATTGAGAATTGTTTGTGATTTGACAAAAACATTTGACTGTGTGTCATGATATTCTTTTGAGTAAATTAGCAACATACGGCATTGGTGGTAAAATAAAAATATGGTTGAAGTCCTATCTGGAAAATAGAAGACAAAAGTTGAACTCTATAATAATGAAAATGGAAAATGCTGTTCAGACTGGGGAACTGTCAAATATGGAGCGCCACAGGGCTCGATTTTGTGTCCTTTGTTGTTCCTTTTATATATTAATGACCTGCCGTCAGCATGAAGTACTGACAACAAGTCATTGTTGTATGCCGTGGATACAAGTATATTAGTATCAGGTATTAATATCGATGAAATTCAAGAAAGGTCTAAACTTACGTTAAATTCCTTAAGTCACTGGTATCAATACAATGGCTTATCCCTAACCTTGAGTAAAACTAAACTGTTAAAATTATAAACAACCAATCGTGACAATATGCCTGTACATTTAAAGTTTAACGATGTATTATTACAAGAGGAAATTCATATTAAATTTTTGGGCATTGAAATTGATAAGTTCTTGAATTGGAAAACACAGGTTGAATCATTGTTACCCAGTTTGGGAAAGGCATGTTATGCAATATGGATTATGAAAACATATAGTAATATTACAACACATAAAATGACATATCATGCATACTTACATTCAGTCATGAGATATGGAATAGTTTTTTGGGGCAATTCGTCAGAGGCCAAGAAGATTTTTCTCTTACAAAAGAAGACTATCAGAATAAAAATGGGGATGAAACATACAGAGACATGTAGGCCAGCATTTAAAAATTAAACATATTGTCGCGTATCGGGCTTATATCGCGACAAATAAGTTCA